GAACGATAGGAATTACAAGCCCAGTGTATCTGAAAGACCCTGATTGGAGAAATCTGTACTAGGGATGCATGTTTCCCTACAACAGAGAGAAGGATATAAATAATATATAAAATAAATATCAGAACGTGGGTGGAAGGAGCCCAAGAAAAACAGCAGTAGGGCATAGTTAATTGGTACACTTAAAACAAACTATAAAAAGGTCACAATTTCTGTCCTACCCTACACTGAGATGCGGCAACATTCCTCTGTTGAAACTCTTGTTACACATTTGTAATAAACTTTATCATTGTTTTCTTTTGGTCTACCAAAAATGCTTAAAGCCAGATTGATTGATTGATAAAATTTATGGCTGCCCATCTTACCAAAGGGTAACTCTTGGGCAGCTTACAGTCATTAAAAATGTATCTGTACATGTACATTAAAACATAACATCGTTTTTTTTTTCATTTTTGGCACATTCCTCTCCATTCCCAGATTTACCCAACTGGCTTGTAACAGTGGCAGCACATAATGATGAGGGGTAGCTGTAACTCCTATTCTTGACTCCCACTTTGGGAAAGGAGCTGGATATGAATATTTAAACAGGAGTCCCCAATATATATAGATTTGTTTCTACCCATATTATCCTTCATCCATCAATATCCAAGAATACAAAGGAAACTCTTTTGTCCCTTGTGCAAGCTTGGCATTTCCTTACCAATGCATGGCTCAGAGGCTCATGGAAACTAATTGGAAAATATGCCAGAGCATGCATTTGGAGCAGATGCTCAGGGTTACTTTACAATCTGCCAGATTTCTGACCTGGCTATCTATCTGCCCAGGGGAACGTTATGCGCACCATCATGTGCCCCATGATCTTTGTGCAAAATCAGACAGCTCACAGAGCCAGTTTAGAAAGAAACACACTACTCTGCTTCTGAGAAGAACTGAAAATGAGAAGTGTGACTGCAGCAGTCCAGCAAGAATAAAAGAGCTCTCTTATATTTGGCCAACATATTAAAATTAGAGTGAAAACCATCTTCCTATTCTGGCAAAGAAGAAACTTTCAGAGACTCTTCCATTTGGAATCCACAGAATCAATATTTTTACTGTAAATAATTCATCATCAGATACATTGGTCAGCGGGGAAAAAAAGAGGGGAATATGGCTGTTCTCAGAACTTGAAGTGTCTGCAGGGAGGAGGCAGACAAGCAGTGTACAGCCACCAACCATTGCAAATTATATAAATTTGCACCAGTCACATCAGGATGTAAATACACAATGATTTACATCTTTTGGATGATCTTGACATTTGCTATGTTGGTACCTGTAACTTTGTCAATGTTTATTTACAGGTAGTTCTTGATTTACAACCACAATTGAGCCAAAAATTTCTCTTGCTAAGCTGGACAGTTGTTAAGTGATTTTTGCCCCATTTTATGACCTTTCTTGCCAGTTAAGTGAATCACTGCAATTGTTTAGTAAGGCAGTTGTTAAGTGAATTTGGCTTCCCCATTGACTTTGCTTGTCAGAAGGTTGCAAAAGGGGATCACATGACCCTGGGACACTGCGACTATCATAAATATGAGTCAGTTGCCAAGCATTTGAATTTTGATCACATGACCATGGGGATGCTGCAACGATCGTGTGAAAAATGGTCATAATTCACTTTTTTCAGTGCCATTGTGATTTTGGTCACTAAATGAACTGTTATAAGTCGAAGATTACCTGTATTTATATCCCACCTTTATTATTTTTATAAATTACTCAAGGCAGCAAATATATAACATACTTTCCTCCTCCTATATTCTCAAGAACAGCCCTGTAAAGTAGGTTGGTCTGAGAAAGATGGACTGGCCCAAAATCACCCAGAGTTTTCATGGCTAAAAGTGCAGTTAGAACTCACAATCTACTCATTTCTAGTCTGGAGCCTTAACCACTAGACCGTACTAGCTCTAATGTTTGGTGCTGGGATAAGAACTGGCATAGAATAGCATTCAATTGCAAGGAGCTCTTTCAAAATTACTGGGAAAAAGCAAGCAAACATTTTAAGTATGGTGTACTTGTTCAGGAGTTGGAAAGGAGGGATGAAGGAGATCCATGTTTAAGTCCACCCATGAAAGCTTTCTAGATGTTTTGAGGCAAACTGCTGTATTTTGGTTTTGATTTTCTGGAAGACAGAGAGCTTTGAACATTGTCTTTAGTTTTCAAAGGAAAATATTTTGATTATGTAAATATTATTGTCAGTAAAGCATACTCAAATGAGCAATATAGTGTTATAACTTTGTGAATGTTATAAAGATCACATGAGCTGAATACTGTATTAGTTTTTTTTTAAAAAAAGCATGATAAAGTCTGGTTTTGTTTTGATGTTTTTTATTCAAAAGTTTTCAAAAGAAATAAAACAGAAAAAAGCTAACAATCTAATCAAATTTACAGTTCAAAAATGTCTTTTGGCATTTAACAACAAGTCCTAGGAAACAAAATGACAGAGTTATCTTGAACCGGACAAATAAGTTACCACTGGCAAGTTTGTGGCACTAGTAAAACAAAAATAAAAAATTAACTCTCTTGATCATATAGATATCTCTATGAAAATCTTTTTTTTCAATCTGTACAAAAGGTCTTTCTTCATAAATTATTTTTTTATAATTTAATGGCTGTCTACTATGTGATGTTTAAGTAATCGATTATTTTTTTTTATGTACAGAGGATACATTTTGCAAATCTTACGCAGATAATGAGTATGGCACTTAGTTCAGCCTTTCCAGCAGCATCTATTCCTTCCTGTAACCCAGTATTTCTCAAACTTGGTAACTTTTAAGGTGTGTGGACTTCAACTCCCAGAATCCCACATCCAGTTATGACTGGGGAATTCTGAGAGTTGAAGTCTACACATCTTAAAGTTACCAAATTTGAGAAACACTGTTTTAATCCAATGTTTAGCTAATTGAAAGAGAAGATCAAGTAGTAAATAACTCTTCTTCTTTTTCTGAAAACATGCCACCTCCAAGGAACAAGATGCAAGGAAGCTGAACTCTGACAAAGCAGTCAATTCAAGGGAGCATAGAACCAATAATACCACAACTTTTTTTTCTTTAAAAAAATAAAAAAAAATAGAAAACAAAAACAGAACATATTTCTTATGTCTATGTAATTTATTAGAATCTACACTTCTCAGAGCAGCATTGACTTTTGAAACTATGAAATGTCACTGACATCTGTACTTGAATACTCACATAAAATTTAAAAACTAAAAAGGAAAACAAAAAGTGAAAAGAAAGAATTGCTTAGGCCTAGCTCCTGAGCTAGGGTGATTTGGTCTGTGGTAACAGGGAGGGCCAGCAACCTGTCCCATTAGTAAAAGAAATAAGCCTTGAGGTAGATAACTGATCATACACAGTTGACCAGACAAGTACACAGTTTTGGAAGACAACTTAATTTACACATGCGATCATAATAAAAACGAGCTTTTAAGAGCAGTGAGTTTTATCTAATACATTAAAAAGTACAAATAACAGTGTATTTGTGAAATCAGGAATTTCATAGTTTCAAAATTATTTTTTTCTTCTTCTTTTCTTTACACTGAACACTTGTAGTGATGATATAAAGCGTGGCACTGCTTGGATCCAAGTCTTCCTTCATGCTTTTTGTTTGTTTGTTTGTGTCCATACATCAATTAAAAATTATAAAACCTAAATGCAAATGTACAAAAAAAGGCACATTCTTCTAACCGCAAACTGGTCCGGCAAAAAGAAAAAAAAATAATAAAAAATAAAAGAGTACAGAAGACATAACTGCTGAGACAATTCAGAATTATTGGTTACTGGCTCTTTTGTTCTTTGGTAAAGTTACCTTTAAAAAGTGCCAAGTCTTTATTTACCTAATATAGAGAGCGAGTACCCAATCTCATTCATTTTCTACTTAAATCTCAGCTTATATTTTGAAAAAAGTCTTTTAGCTTTTGCCTTTGCTGTAAAAGCAAATGCTTCTATTTGCTAGGTCTCAGTACAGCATTGTTCTTAAGCATTATCATTACTAAAAAGGACAGAAACATTCGCCATGATTCCCTACCCCCCAAACTCCCCCACCCTACAACTAAAACATAATTAGCTTCTGGAAAAAAAGGCAAAAAGTTTTTTTTTTTTTTACATTGCATCATACAGCAGAGTTCCTAACTAGCAGAGGAAAACTAATTGGCATAAGGCCTTACAAACGATTTATTCTATTAAAATTTCCCCCGTCAGAAAAATGTGTTTCACACAAAACATTTCCCTATTCCCCAATCTTGCATTTCACAAACTTACATTATTATGTGAGGAAAAAAAATCATTAAAAACACTTACTACACATTTTTAAAAAGCCAGATTTTTCAGCAATTTTTTATCGACTACCTCTTAAAAGCCCTATCCTGCTGTTTTACAAGGCATAATAGACCAGCTTTGGTCAAAAGCATTCTACACCATTAGTTTGGACTACGTACTGAAACAGCTACAGCATTAAAAGAGTTAAGGCAAATTGGAATTGATAGAAAAAAGATGAGACACTTCAGACTACTTTTAAAGGAAAAAAAAACAACAACAGAAAGCTATGAAAACAGACCCTACAATTGCAACACTGCACTAGAGCGAGACTCACACAGCAAGCACAGAACATCAGCATGGATGTTTTACTAATTTAAACTTCAAAAAAAAATTATACATTTTTAAAAAAGTTAAAACAAAATAAAAATAAACCAAGACACGGATTCTGTCATGCACATGGATGTGTCTCCATTTTGAGCTGTGCGTGACCGGAATTATTTTTAAGATTTTTTTTCTTTTTTCTTTTTCTTTTTTTTTTGCGTCATTAACACTTGATAAAAAATTTCTTACTAAAATAAACCTGTTCGGGGGAGGGAGGGGGGAGGGAACAGCTACTAGAATGAATTTTAAGATCTTTTTTTTTCTTTTTCTTTATGCACCTTATAGAACTTATAGCAAAAATAGTTTCAGTTGATTTCATTATAAATAACGTTTTCAAGAACCTGTGCAAAACTGTCAATAATTTCTAAAGCACAATTGATCAGTAAAATCCATGATTGTTTCAGCCTTTGCATCCTTCTCTAGGCAAGGTCACCACCAACGTATCTGAAAAAAAAAAAAAGGTAAAAATACATTTCATTCCCAAATATCAGATTCCTAATATCTAGCCTTCTGTAGGAATTTGCTGAGGTTATAAACGTAAAAGGAGAAAGTAATCTGTGCGGAGCTTAGTTGACACCGTGCCTAAAGGTATGTATGAATGAAGGGCAATGAATGCACTATTGTTTATTTGAAGGAAGTATATCAGTTTAAACAAGGGCTGGTTACTGGTTTACAAAGTGCACCTGTGAAGTGACATGAAATGCCAAAAAGGGACATGATGCTTCTGAGGTGATTTCCCTGGCTTATTTTCTATTTCTTTTTGAGCCATTTCCAGGCTTCCATAACACATTTCACACAGACAAGAATGGCTAAAAAAAGAATTCCCAAATTGGTGAAACAAGCCATGGTTTATTACATGATGTCTGCATGCATGTAATCTACATTTGATGTTAAAATTTCTAAGTAGATATTTCATATTATTACATCGACAGAACAGAAGCACTGAGCTTCTTTTTCCCAAATATGTATACAAATAGTTATCTCACTTTCAGGTAGAGAGGGTAAGACATCTTGCAAAATTAAAGCATAATACGTAGGATAATACTTAGATGTATTTTCCTAAAATGTTAATTGGAAGGCAAGTTAAAAATCCAAGGAAATTCTCAAATTCAAATATCAAGATATGGCTTTAAAAGAATGGGTCTCTATTATAGATATTCTAGAGGTTGGTATCCTAAGCAACTTTAATGAAAATTTGCTATAACAAATGTATTTTTCTATAATCAACAGAAGGAAACTTCCTTGACAAGTTCATGGTTGTAGCAGACAACTTTTGTTATTTTATTATAGGAATTGAGAAAACATTCAGGGTACCAAATTCATCATTATTTCACACTGGCTTCATAAAATTATTAGCAGAGTCTGTATTTCTTTCTATTTTGGGATGAGAAAATATTCTGTACATGTCTGAAGAAATATGCTAACAATTTTACCTCACAATTACTTGTTTTGTTGATAAGTGTATGGAGAATGATCACTGGATGTTTCTACTGTAACTTGCTGCTGACCACTGGCCTCCTGTTAAAAAAAATCACCAGCTATAGTATGAAAGGTGTTCTAATTATTTCTTCAAATTGAGTTATGGAGCAAATTTTATAAGAAAATATATCAAGACAATTTCTAAAATTTGTGACATCAGATACAGGTAGTCTTCGACTTACAGCAGTTCATTTAATGACCCCTCAAAGTTACAACGGCACTGAAAAGCTATCCATAGCTCAGTTCTGGGCTGCACAGGCCTTCCGGAAAGGCCTCTGACTGTGAAATGGAGGCTGAGCTCCATTCTCAGCTGCAGAAGCAAGTTGCTCCTTCGGCCGAAGAAGAAATGAGCCGGCTGGTCAGGGCTATTGGTGCCACTGCTGCAAGATAAGTGGAAAAGACAACCCCTCCCCCCAAAAATATAGACCTGCTACTTCTTTTGGAAGTAAAAAAACCCCCCAAAAATAAGACCGGGTCTTATTTTCAGGGCAATATGGTATGTATTACAGTTGGCCATTTTTCTTAAGACAATTCATCATTGATTCTCTACAAATATAATGCATGAAAGCACATCAACCACCACACACACACACACACACACACACACACACACAGAGTTGCCATAGTTGCTTTTATCCCACTCTATTAATCAAATTCTTAAGAAGGTATATATAGAATTTTCAATTTATTTGTTTGCCAAATTTAGACACCACCCATCTCACTCACAGAGTAACTCCAGGCGATGTACAGTTAAAAACATAGAGCCTAAATACCATTTAAAAATACGATGCATCAATAAGAGTAGCAACCCCCCCCCCCCCGAGAGTTCACAGCAATAACGTAATACATTTTGACTAGTAAAGATTTTCTTACCTCAACTGGAACAGCTGCAGTGGGAACGTGTGTATACTGGGGAATATAAGCTCCTTGCATAGCTGTTGTGGCAGGCATGTACTACAAAAAAGGCAGGTAATATATTCAGCTCAATAGAGCACATACAAACATGTTACCATCTTACACATAAGCACATTCAAACATGTTACCATCTGACATATAAGACCCAATAAATATTATGTGCACCATGACTTGCTTGGAAGAATTCTCTTCTGTTTTTGTTTAGCCATGATTCATAAATCATAGTTGAAATGGCAAACCCTGATTAACGTAGGTTTAAATTTAGTAATTCCAAGCAAAACACAGTGTATTTGAAAGTAGATACAGCTGTCATCCGAATGTGTGATGGAGAGGATGGAGTAATGTAGAAACTAAAACTTGTTATAAGTTATTTAGATAAACTATGATGAATTTAGCCAGTGAAGGTATTTATTTATTCATTAAGAAAATGTATATGGCCACCCAATTCATTCACAATGATTTATAGGCAGCTTACAGAGCCATGGTGGTGCAGTGTTTAGAATGCAGTATTGTAGGCTAATTCTGCTGACTGCTGATTGTCAGCAGTTTGGCAGTTCAATTCTCACCAGTTCAAGGTTGACTCAGTCTTCCATCATTCTGATGTTGGTAAAATGAGGACCCAGATTGTTGGGGGCAATATGCTGACTCTGTAAACTGCTTAGAGAGGGCTGTGAAGCAGTATATAAGTCTAAGAACTATTGCTATTATAGAAAGAATGCATGCTCTCAGATTATTAACAAATACAGGTATTCCTCGACTTACAACAGCTTGTTTAGTAACCGTTCAAAGTTACAAGAGCACTAGAAATGTGATTTATGACCGGTTTTTATAGTTATGACCTTTGCAGCAGTCCCATGATCATGTGATCAAAATTCAGATGTTTGGCAACTGGTTCATTTATGGCCTTTGTTATATCCCAGGGTCATGTGATCATCTTTTGTGACTTTCTGACAAGCAAAGTCAATGGGGAGGCCCCATCAGTAACCCTGTTACTAACTTATCCACTGCAGTGATTCACTTAACAGCTGTGGCAAGAAAAGTCGTAAAATGGGGCAAAACTCACTTAACAAATGTCTCAACAGAAATTTTGCGCTCAATTGTAGTCGTAAGTTGAGGACTACCTGTAAAAGCGTGTTTTTACGTTTTTTGCTTTAATATCTTGGAGAAATAAATCAAGTGTTTCCAAAATCATTTTAACCAAATCACTGGCGACTCTGTGTCTTCTGTTTTTTCTTTGTAAGACATTTCACCCAGCAATGCCAGTTCTCGTTGGCAGATAAGAGATGAATAACTCACAGTAGATTCAAGAACTCATTCACAATGTATGCTGATACCACTGCTATCAAGCTGTAAGATCGTGTATTTTTGAGAAATACGAGGAAGAAAAGCAGCTACATTCACCCTTCAAATCTGCTAATGTTAATGTTCCTCTCTCGAAAAAATGACAAAGGTAAAGTTTAGGAATTTTATGAATGGACAGGGTTTCCAATGGATGCATTCATACTAGGTAGTGAACATGCCACAGAAGAGATAGTAACTTTTACAGTGGTTACTAATGGAACTTATTGGAAGGCTACGTACTGTTCCAGTGCTGCCCAATGAAAGGTGGCTCATCTGTTGGGTCAGGGGACTTATCATTGACGCTGGCTGCAAAGACATGGTGTGCTCCATGGAAGGAGTTAATACAGCACCCTACCAGAATGAAAGAGACAGGTTTCAAACATTTCCTCATGTGGATTTTTCTCTCTTTTCTAGCAAAGTAAGACGTTTTTAGAGAAAACAAAAGGTTTGGGGTCAAGACTTTTTTCAGTACGATCCATTCTGACCTCGGCCAGTCATTCTCTCTCAGCCCAACTCACCTCACAGGGTTGTCATTGTGGGGGAAATAGGGGAAGGAAGATGTATTGGATATGTTCGTTGCCTTGAATTTATTTGCGTAAATAATAAAAGCAGGATACAAACAAGCAAAAAACAAGTTTAAGATCTTTATTAAAACAGCACACTGGTTTTTGAAATGAATGGTTGAGAAAACATATGCTGGAAGATGAACATTATGAAATTCATATAATTATGAGATTATTGTTCACTGCAAGATTATCACAATTTAAGGCACAGGTAAATATGTGGGATTCTACTGAATGCTACATAAGCGGGAATCTTCCATTTCCTCAGCCACAGGAAAAGGTCACCTTCATGGTATTTTCTGAGGGTTTTCTAACCCCTATAAAGGACCATTTTTTCTACACAAAACATAGCATACATGGATCTTGTTACTGCAATAGTTAGGAATTCTATTTTTTGCACAAACTCCAGTTCTCCCCCCTACTTAAACAAAAAACAAAATGGATGTTATGGTCACTAGTAGCTCCATTCACTTTTGTAGCTCTCAATGATGAAAATGTTCTGGGAAACCTTTGGCTGTCTAGCATAGAATTGGAAGGGACCATCTAAGCCAATAAATCTAACTCTTTGCAGCATGCAGGAAACAAGATGCTGGATTAAACGGAACATTAGACTAATCCGGTATGGCTATTTTATTCGATAAGTAAGAATATTTCTGGTAAAGTTATTTTAGCAGGGCAGTTAGTGAAGTATTTATAATGGGCTCCATGTATGGCTATACAGATATCATCCAGCCCCAAATATAGACTGCAAGTTTCTCTAAACTAAATTCAGTGGGAGAAGTGAGCACAATGCATTTCCTAAGCTTCAGAAGTGATAGATCTAGGATTTCCTGTCAGGAACTGTGTATCTAAAGATATGGGCACACATGCATACACACACACACCTGTTTGGGTATGTATGTATGTGTGTGTGTGTGTGTGTGTGTGTGTGTGTGTGTGTAGCTATCCCCAAATTAATGCCTTTCAGGTATATGATAACCCATGACAAACCACCCTAGTATCTTCCAGGAGGTATATAGGACTCATAGGTTTTCATCCCAATTTTACAGCTTTCCATCTTTGCTTCCCATTACAGCTGTTTCAACAGAGGTGGATAGAATTGATCCATCAGTCACTTAGTTTTTTAGATTAGGGGGCTTAAGGATAAGATGAAATTATTATTTTTTTATCAATAGCGATGGATTGTATAATGTTATATCAGTTCAATGCCTAACTCCCAGCATCTCTTGGTGGTTGTTTAGTGTATACAGTAGGTTGTGCCTGCTATAGAATATATGGGTTTATATAGTCCGGCTCTGACTGTATAAACCCATAAAAATGGGAATGAAATCATTTCCTCCCCATTCCCATTCCAAGAGCAGTCAGAGCAACATTAAGAGAAACAGTGCATGCTTACAGGATGCTGCATTATATATGGTTGAGGCTGCATCCAGGAGGGACTCTGCACCTGGAAAATAAAACAAAAACCATTTTTAACAAATTTGTATTAATGATGAATAGCTTATAGAACGTTCAGTGTATCTTCAACCAGCCTCCAATAATGTTAAGTTCATAAATATTGTTGGATGACAGCTATCATCCTGAGTTTGCACTGGACTTGACCATCCTCTGAAGACTCAAGGTTGGGAAGTGGCCTTAAGCTGACTTATATGTTGGCTGCAAGAAGTGAAAATTCGAGTGCCAATATAGGACAACCTGGTAGACTGTGTTAATTCACATTATCCTTCACTTAGAAGACACCATAATCCTCTCTACCCAACATGTATTAGTGCACTACCTTCAAATGCTACAAGCAGATGATAAATGATTAAGATGTAAACAATTCCTCCCTTTTTTAAGTAGAAGTAGAAAGCTGAATACCAGCAATCCCGATCTGACACTGCTAGACTACAGGATGTGATCTCCTCAGCAGAGTTTTCACAGACACCAAGCCGAGGGAGGGGTCTGACTAAGCGGTAACATCTGTTTCCTTTTTCTCAGAGCAACTGGGATTTACAGTAGAGGAGGTTGTCTGTTGAGCTTTAGCGTTATCCAACTCTGACTGCACTTAACTTTAAAAGTTCATTGTAAATATGACTTAGAGATATTTTGCTTTTATTTGGGATGAATACTCTGGATGAAAGGAATAGTTAATAGAGCTTAACCAGACAAAGATAGAACTGGAGGAAAGTATACCTTGGCTCTGATAAGGATCATCCGGACATTTTGAGAGAAAAAAAAATCTTCTACCTAAAATAAATGTGCTGCCTATGAATGTCTTAATTCTGTAATAACTGCTAGGTGTTGATACCTTCACTTTCTTTTTCAAACAGTGAACTATAAAACAGCACACTGAAAGATTCAGAATGGCAAGTTCCACAGGTTCATATCCTGTTTGGATAAGCATGGGTACAAATTACGTTGGCCTTCATGAACAAGTTGCCCATTCACAGAGTAGTGTATACACGCACAACTAGCTTTGAGTATAGTTTTGAATCAGAGAAAACCAGAGCCATTTATCTACATCACTTGCTCAAAAGCTCCATCTGGAGGAGAACTCAGAAGCAGCAGCCAGTGAAGTCTGCAAAAGCTATTAAACCCCTTCAGTAGAATGTGGGATTGATTTCCCGGGGCCTTCCTGTCTGGCCGAGCCTTCCTCCCAAGCATCCTGGGCATTTGCCAATCCCTACCCTGAGCAGAGCCACGGGACTGGGCAGGGATCCCACATTGGCTGAATACAGTTCCTTTGCCCTTAACCAAGCCAATTTCACTCCCTGAAGGCAAAAGGAAAAGGCAGCAATTCTCAGTAACACTGTTTTTGTTTTTCTCTTTCCTTCCCTCTTCTAAGCCATTGAAGCTAGCACGGTCTCTGGAGTCTAGTGTTACACAGCCTTCCCAAGAGAGATGTAGGGTTAAAGAAAGTGTGAGATTGCTCACTTTCTTCTTCAGCCTTGAAGAAGGTTCATTGGGTTTATCTCCCAATGGTTCATTGGGTTTATCTCCAAATGTTTTGTGAGATCATGCACTAAATAGAAAGGAAGTAAACAGGAAATCTACTTGAAATCTTATAAAATAATCTATAAACACTCTAGGGATCTTTCCTGTAACATATACTAACATACAATTTTAGAGAGATTCTTTACTCTTCTAGTGAGTAAGGAAGCTTTTTGGATACAGGCCTGTTCTTTTTCAGCAAATCTGATAAACAATCTGAGGTTTTCATGGTTCTCTCAAACATAATACATTATCTCTATTTCAGCAATACGTTTAAGCAACGGAAGCTTTTATGTTCCCCTGCTGTACTTATCAATTCCTATACAACAGGAAACCAAGGAGTGGTTTACTCAGAAATTTGTGTGGAATATACACTAAAACTATTGAATGTAGTCCTGCACTATCTTTGGTGTGGTACACTAGCTTTTCGTAGCCTGTTTGGCTTCCAAATGGATAGTCCTTAATTTCTGGAGCTCTTATCAATGGGCTTTGAGGGAATCTGAAAGCTGAGGGCTCCTCATCTAGATACGCCCAGATTTGGTAAGGCTTTTCTTTTCTTTTTTTCTTTTTAATAAAGTTTTATTAATTTTTCAGTAAAAAACATAAAAACATAAATCTTTTATCACAATGTCAACCAAACAAAAAAAAATAAAACTAAACAGTACATTCACGGACGTGTCCGGTGTCCCCCTCCTGCACCACCCTCTTCCACTTACCATACCTTCCTCCTCCCATCCTACCACCACTCCTCCTTCCTCCCTCTTTCCTACTTCCCTTCCTCAATCAACCATCCCGTCCTGTGCATTTGGGGTTTCACCGGGCACCTCCTTATATAAAAAAAAAATTTTTTTTTTAGGTAAGGCTTTTCAATATGCATAATACAAATGAGCCACTTACAAACAAAACATAATTCTACTGTTAATTCTGTTAATCTTGAAATACACACCTGGTATGTAGAAACTGGAGACGCTATATATGGCGTGATAGATGTTTGAGTGATCATTCTGTTTGTTGCAATACTGTATGGTGAGGGGTAAAATCTAGAAAATACACATATCTTCATTATTAACTTTTTAAAATATACAGGAAAATCAAATGCATTTATTAAGTGCTTTATTTACATACCCATTTTGTAAAGCAGCTGTAGTTGGATCATAAGTGAGTGTCATCCCAGCCTTTAGGAAAAGGAGCAATTAATCAACAATAAACAGTGGTTCCTAACCCAATCGAAACATTACACTAGCCCATCTGTTTGAATTAATAAAAAAAATGATACAATGACAGCAAAGCACAGTATTTCAAGAAATAATTTTTACCGTAATTGATATATAAAGTGAAGTATTTAGGAGTTCCAATACTTATTCAATGAAATAAAGAACTCCAATCAAAATATATTTTCACGTTAATTCAGCTTTGGCACTCAGCTGCATATCCCCCAATGAGAATGTTTGCAATGCACCATTCAGTGCCCTGACTTTCCCCAAGCATGCTTTGAAAGCCCATACAAATCTCAGCTACTATATATCTTGTTATTCACCGAACTTTTCAGGATATGCTGACTCATGATAGAAATGTGCTCATATAACCATGTGCCAGAATGTAGCTGAACTGTTAAACCACACAATATGCACTGAACATGTGACTAGGAAAGAGAGGGTATTTTCAAGAATAGCAATAATTGGAGCGCCTTCCCTTCAGAGGCAACAACTCACTAAACTACTAAGAGCCGTCAAATGTTTGATGAAACTTTGGAGGTGTGTGTGCCAATGCCCCTTGCTTTTCTGACATGACTTGGAAGGCTATTCTGGTTCACAGTGCTGTGATTAGATTACGGTTTGATTTGATTAAAAAGTATTTAATTGCCATTTCCTCCCTTTGCTGACGTGCAATTTTGATCCTATTGCATTTTGTTTATTGTTCTTATTGATTCGACTCTTAGTCATAAAGCAGTAAATGGTTTTCAACAAAATTAAAACATTCCTAAAAAGGGATTGCATGTTTATGATTTTAATTTCAATGTTTATATTATCAAGAGGGCAAATAGCACAGAATTGTAAAAACCTATTGCATAATACAGAGGAATGACAAAACAAAGTACTATTAATTACTTTCTTAAATCTACACACACATAAACTTTAAAAGGTTGAAATGAGAACTTACAAGTCTCACCTCGCCTTCTCTGTGCCATGCTCTTCCATTTTGTATATATTTGTTCTGATTCTGTCTCTTTTTTTGTCCTCCATCCGCAAACTTGCACAACAAAGGTTCTGTAGGAGCTAAACAAAATCCTTTGGGATCAATTTGATGTACTAGTCTCTGGGATTGCAAAATGATATATTTTCTTCCCACCATTTGAAAAGGACTTACTGCCATCTGATTTAGCTTAATTATCTAGATCAGCAATCTAGTATATATAAATGTATGCAGATTACTGAATTAATAGGACTATTATCTTTACATTCAGCCAAGTCAGTAAGACGAATATAGAGTAACAGGTAGTCCTTGATTTGCAACTTTATAACTGATCCTGGAATTATGGCCTAAGTGGCTGTGGTCATTAAGTTGGGGCACCTAAGTAAACAGAAATAATTTTCTGGCCTCTTTCATAATAGTTGTTAAATGAACACAATGGTCATTAAGTGAATGTATTCGTTTGAATGGGCAGAAACCAGCAAAAAACATAGCGAATCATAGTCATAAGACTGCAGAACATCATGGCTTATTGTAAAGCTGACCCATTCCACATGCATTCATGTGACCGTGGGGGAGGGGGAGACCATTTATGATGGCTAGGGTGCTTTGAACTATGGTGCTGGAGAAGACTCCTGCGAGTCCCCTGGACTGCAAGGAGATCAAACCGGTCAGTCCTAGAGGAGATCAACCCTGATTGCTCTTTAGAAGGCCAGATTCTGAAGTTGAAACTCAAGTACTTTGGCCACCTAATGAGAAGGAAGGACTCACTGGAGAAGAGCCTAATGCTGGGAAAGATTGAGGGCAATAGAAGGGGACGACAGAGAATGAGGTGGCTGGATGGAGTCACTGAAGCAGTAGGCGTGAGCTTAAATGGACTCCAGAAGATGGTAGAGGACAGGAAGGCCTGGAGGAATGTTGTCCATGGGGTCGCGATGGGTCAGACACGACTTTGCAACTAACAACAACAGGGTGCTGTAAAGCCCCTTTTGTGGCTGTCGTAACTTCAAAATCATAAAACAGTCATTAAAAACCCAGCCATTAAGCAAGGACTATCTGTAGAATGCTCATTTCAACTCAGTACATTTTCAACTACTGATTTTCGCCTCTCTGTATACTGTACATTTTTTATACTATATAAAGGTAGACATACAGATACACCAATGGAGGATTTATTCACTAGCACAGAGAAATGCTTTAGTTCAGTGGTTCTCAACTGTGGTCCGTGGCCTGCTGGGGGGGGCTTCAATGGCATCACAGGGGGTCCACGAAGGCTTGAAGAAATGTTATGATTTAAATCTAGAGTTAAGTCTTGATGGTCTGTGGCCACAAAAGGTATTTAAAGGGGTGGTGGTGAAGAATGCATTCATATTAGAATTTTTCTCATTCATTTTAAGGCAGGACCCTTTAAGACTGGATTCTTCTATCTTTATATACAGATAGAAACTTTTCTAGTGTTTATGAAATTACCCTTTTGAAATCAGGCATATGTGCACAGATACACAGACAAAAAGAGGCTGTTTGTGGAATCTGGATTCAGCACGTATAAACCTGTAATATTTACTCTAGTAAGTCTCACTGAATTCAACAGCTCCTATTGCAGTGGTCCCCAACCTTTAGGGCTTGGTGGCCCGACCCGGGGGGGGGGGAGGAGAGGAGAAAGGCCATGCAAGCTTGTGCGGCTCAGATCTAAATGGCCAGGTAGTGGGCCGCAGCCTGGGGGTTGAGGACTCCCATCCTATTGCTCTCTATGTATTCACAGGATATTTCTATGCTGAAAGTGGATCTTTTTAGTGCACTGTTTCTGTTTTATTCTTCTTGCAAAAAGGAAAGGGCAAAAAGTCATTTTAATCAACCCGCATTACATCCCAATGAATTCAGCGGTTCTTAATCCAAAGAAAGTATGTTTATAACTTCTAGTCCTGCTTAGTCACCATGTTCCTTTCATTCCCCTCTAAATAGAGATACACTGTAGAGCAGACATGTCAAACCCGCGATGTCGCGTGACGTATCAGAGCTTTTCCCCCATTGCCGGCAATGGAGCAGGCGCGGTTTCCTGGTGACGCGTCCGGCCTGTGGGCCGGCAGTTTGACACCCCTCTTGTAGAGCTTCCCTATTCATGGAGATTCTGCACCAGCTGAGGTACAGTGAGTCCCCGACTTACATCCACAATTGAGCCCAACATTTATGCTGTTAAGCAAGGTAGTTGTTAAGTGAACAGCGCCCCGTTTTCTAACCTTTTTCGCCACAGTTGTTAAGCGAATCACTGCAGTTGTTACATGGTCATTAAGCAAATCCAGCTTCCCCACTGACTTTGCTTGTCAGAAGCTCACAAAAGGGGGGGGGGGGTCACGTGACTGGACATTGCAACCATCATAAATAAGTGCCAGTTGCCAAATGCCCCAATTTTGATCGTGTGACTTACAGGGATGCTGCAATGGTCGTAAGTGTGAAAAACAGTCATGAGTCACTTTTTTCAGTGCTCTTGTAAATTTCAAACAATCCCTAAATGAACGTTTGTAAGTCAAGAACTACCTGCTTCTGATTTTCCATCCTCTGTATGGAGAATCTTAATGGATAGAGGATACTCTGCAGTTTCAAATGCTCAAACATTCACAGTCTACAGCATTTCTTATCCAATAGTATCTTCCTCCATTACACTAATAAATTCTTCCATCCCACATTTTACTGTTAAATTTATTTGGAGGAAACCCCTTCCCTTTCTTTTGAAAAAAAATGTTAATAAGGTACAGCTATGCACTAAAGGCTGTTTACATAGTTGTTCTGTTGGATTATATATCCGAAATTAAAATGGTGACATTATGAAGCCCTTCTATGACACATAATGCCTGTTTTGGCACGTATCTAATATTTTTGTCATCCAAGAGAATCTTGCAGAATTAACTCTGAGCATGCAACAGTATAAGCAAGTTTTGCAGGTCTTAATTCTATCTGTGGTTCTCTAACAGCTTAAACAACCTCAAGGGGATCCAGCTGTATTCAACTATTCTCACCTAGAACACAGTGTTCTAGTTTGAGTACAAATCCATCCATCCATCCATCCTTCCTTTTCTGCCTTTTAAATCAGAATTACAAAGACAACAACGGATGGAAATTAATCAAAGAGAGATCCAACCTATAACTAAGGAGAAATTTCCTGACCGTGAGAACAATTAGACAGTGGAACAAATTGTGGGTGCTCCATCACTGGAGGCTTTTAAAAAGAGACTGGATAGTCACCTTCTGTAATGGTATAGGGCAGGGGTAGGGAACCTTGGCTCTTTTATGACTTGTGGATTTCAACTCCCAGAATTCCTGAGTCAGAATGGCTGGTAATAGGTAACATGTTTACTATAAACTGAAGTTTTTATCTTACTTCATAAACATGGTCAATGGCTAGGGATTCTAAGAAATTCTATTATAAAACATCTAGTGAGTGGAAGAAGGTTGCTTTAAGCTCTGAAAGTCTGAATCTTGATAATGCTTTAATTTTTAAATGCTTTAATTTTACTTCTGTATGGGAAGAGATAGAATGATGAATGAATACCTGAATATAGTCTGCAAATCTAATTTGAACGGTAAAATTCATGTTAAGAGGAATGTATCAGCTACAAACAGCAGCTACAAACATGATGGGTGGAAGCTGGCAGATACAAAAAAAAAAAGGTCCTTTTTGGCAGTGACACTATATATATATGGAATTTCTTTCCCCCAGGAGATGCAATTAGCTTTCTTCCTGTTGACTTTTACGTGGGCTTTTAGTGGCTCCATTTTTCTTCAGATTTTATCATAGAATGGCTGACTGAACAGAACTATTTTGACTAAAACACAGCTGTTCCTCCCTTTCCTTGTAATACACTTAATGACTCTGTAGAAGCACTACCATAAAGTCGGTTGTTAATATTTTCAGCTAATAATAATAATAATAATAATTTTCCTGCTTCACTGATTTTCAGCAAACAACATTCCATAGACTATATAAAATCCTGTTTCGAAATATAATATGAATTATATAAGCCATAAGCTTGAAAATTCTGGGATGTCTGATCATCCCAACCACTCCAGCTGCCATTTTGTACTAACAATGCAGTCATTTGCATTTCACGTAGTGCTTTGAATTGAATGCTATTTATAATGATATGTTGTAGAGGAAATTTCTTTAGTATACATTTCTTTAGTATACATTTCTACAGTGAACAATGCTAAAATTGTTCTAAACAATTGTTTTGTTGTTTGTGATTCTCCATTATCTGTGAGTTCTGGTAATTTATCAATTTTCAGGAAAATCGGTCTGTTGTTTTTATAGAATATAAAGACAGGGATTAGACTGAATTACACTCAGATTACATTACTTGGGCTAGATATTCAGAAGTATGTTCTCAGTCAGTTTCCTTACTAACCCTTATTTAACTCTCATTTCCAGTAAAAAAAACATGCACACAAACTTTTTAACAGAAAGATAATTTAGCAAGAAATATAATTTTAGCATACAAATTAGGCTGAAAATTATTTTATCATGACAATGGTCTGCAACCACTTTCAATGGGTTCAGAAGTCTAGTAACATAATCAGAATTCCTCTTCCCCTCCCTCCCCAGATTTTCAACTGTACATTATTAAACCATATTATGTTGTTTAAGGTAATCCTCGAGATAGGACCATATGTATAGTCACATGTTGCAACAGCTGTTAGATGAAGCATTTCACCGAATGACCCCATCCCTACTTTCCGCAATGAACTGTTAAATGAACATGCAGGTTGTTAAGCAGAGCATGGAGTACCTCTGGGGTGGGAGAGGCCCCTGGAGGCACAGCTGTAGTCTTCCCTCTCACTATATGAAACTGGCTTCCTAGACAAAACTGGGTAGATCGTACTGGACTGATTTGTCTAAAATAGTATTTTAAAAGCAGTCTTGCATATTACAGCAAATGTGGGGTATTTATCATCTGCAGATTGAAATGAAATTTCCCAGGAACAGATGAGGAAAGGCAGGATATAAATGGAAATCCTCCTCCTCCTCCATCATCATCATCATCATCATCATCATCATGCAGAGGTTAAAGTGCGGTATGGCAGGCAAACTCTG